TAATAGTGCATAAATATGAGTTTTCATAAGTTATTATTGAGAAAGACTTGTTACATCATATGGAATAAATGACTTTCTTTATAGTAAATGAATTTATATTAAATTAAGGGCTCTATTTATTGTTTTTTCTTATTTTTACCAATGTTGAGTTTTCCGTATCTGTGATTAGTATGATATTATTACAAGGGTAGTGTAACTCATCCATTCATTAACTATTTCAGATCAAATGGACTAAAATCCAGGTCCCAATCAACAAGGGAGTTGTGAATAATTCACCACCCGAACTCTTTTCAAGAGCTACTAATTGTCGTTTTAGGATTACTTAGTTATTTGTCTTTTGGTTATTTTTTTTATTTTTTTTTATTTTTTTAGAATGGATATTCTTGTAACTCTATTGGACATGTTAAATTATTGTGTAAGGAATGTAAACTCTAATTCTATTATTTCACTTTCGCATTTAATTTATAACTTTATTTTCCTTTAACTTTCGGATCTTTACGTAGTTGATATAAATAAATAGTTGGTCGAAAGATTTATAACATGTTATAACTATAAATAGTTGATATAAATAAAAAAAATTAATTTATGTTTTTTAAAAACATGATAACTTTTAAATATATAAATAAATTTAAAAGATTTAAAAGTTGAAATTTGTTCCAAAATATTTCTTATTCGACATAAATTTATTACAAGAGTGATTTTATTGCATATGGAAATTTTAGAATTTTTTTATACATATTTAGGTTATAATTTTTTATTTTTTTAAAGTGAACACGTATAAAAATCTACATAATATTAATAGTTGCAGCAAAATTTATGATTAAATAAAAAAATAATTATTAAAAATTATAAGGTGAAATCTCTTAACATAATTTTTATTTTATATTTTATCTGAATCATTTAATCACACCTTATACATGATTACAACTAATATTCTAAGGTATTTCACCACAAATATAAACCACTAAAATAAGAAACAATACTGGCTAGGAGAAACAAAGCTCACATCAAATAACTAAGGTACTTCATGAATTTTTTTACTCAAACCCAATTTCAAAAACATATATATTCACACACTTACACGAAGTTTATGAAAATAGAATAATTGAAAAAAAAAAGGTGTATTTAAATTATTTATTTTTATTAAAATTAAACTACCAAAAGAGGTAACGGAAATACATTACACCTTATATTATGCATTTTTTAAATTTCATTAGTCATAAATGTTTGTATCTCTTTTCATACTACATTTCTTCCTCATAGCCTCTTAATTAATTTATAATTTATTCTTAATTTAATTCACAACTTCATGTACCTCTATAAGAAGTTCTATGATATAGTGAATTTGAAGAAAAATTTATTGTTTAAATTTTTTTAGTCTTTTTTAATTTTATTGTACTTTTCTATTACATTATCATCATATATTTTTAAAATTTATAACACATTATCAGTAAGAATTTATTCTATAAGTTTCTCTTCCCGACAATTTTAATTTCTTCACTTAGATATGATCTACATATCCTCACTCGGTAAATTCATTAAACACATCTAAATTCACAATAATAATATTACTCTCCTTGTTTCTTCATTTTTCTATTATGAACATGATCAATAAAATGATTCTTTGAAACAAAAAAAAAAAAAAAAACTGAAGATCTACAAGAGATCATTACTTCATTGTGAATGATGGAAAAAAAAGATTATAAGTGGAGGATTGCAAGATTTTTTTGAAGTCTACTACTTGTATAATTAATCAAGAGGTAATGACATTTTTCTATATATTCATTATAATATAAATTAGATAGTTATTGTTTAACCAAAAAAATATATTTTCATAAACCCCTTATCTTAAGGTTGATAGCTATCTAAGTAAAAACTTTTTCTGAAAATGAGACTTGTAATTCTTAATGATAATTCAGTTGCTCAAGTTTCCAAATAATATTTTCAAGATGTTTTAATTTTGGGATAATTAAAAATAAAGTTATGTGTTTTGGTGATTACATACACTTTTAAATTGCTTATGAAGGTTTCAAACATTAACCTTTAACCTTCACTAAAGTCGTGTCATGTTTACCTTTTTATGGTTGTGGATGCTTGACTTTAATTTGTAAGGTGGTGGAAATGTCATGTTTGGTTTCTTTTATGCATTTTTTCTTAGCTAAATTTTATCATTGCATTTATACCATAGAGGACAAGTTATTCCATCCAATATATATACTATTTAATACAAAGTAAACCAAATTCTTGTGTATATTTTCCTTCTATTTGAATTTAAGTAGCTTGTGTTTAGTGGAAATATACATACATTGTATACTTTGCTATGTTAAACAGTTTATTTGTTGCTAAGCATTTTCATAATACCAAGCACAATGAAAACAAAAACATGAGATAACATAAAGGACTTATTTGGTTATATTGATAGTTTATTTCCTTTCTTTCCTTTAACTCATTCTGTAAATTCTTGCATAATTAATGAAGTTAAACTTTTTAACATTTAAAGCCTTTTAGATTACATTTGTTGTTGTCTTTTTTCCTTAGAATGACCTAATGAGTGATATGAGTGTTCCATTAATTAGTTAATATATGACAACCTGGATTTTCATCCAGAGTTTTGACCGTACGCACACCATATCATGATAAAATAATCTATAGCAAGACTTCACGCAGCAAATTTTAAAATAATAAAAAGTACATCCCTTACATATTTAGCTCAGAACATCTATTATCCACGAGATATGTCTAAACTCTAAAATAAATACTTGCTAAAAATAAAATAATTAACATTAATGAATTAAAATAAAATTTAAACAATCTATTAGCAAGTCTTTCACTGTTCATGAGCGAAATTCTAAATATCTTGATTTAAAAAAAAATAAATAATAAATAGGGTGAGCTTCGTATTCTTAATAAACATGTACCAATAAATGATAGGATAATCTGTCCAAGTTTGTAAAAATATAAAACTATCGACGGAGACAGTCTAAAATATTTTTCTCTTTAATTTAGAAAACACGTGGTAGCTACACCATAATTCATTAAGCAAACCTTCTAAATGAGTTTATTTAATAAACATTCAGAATTTATTATTTCAGTATCATAACTCAATTGTTTAATAAATATCATAATTCAGTATTCAGTATCACTATTTAAGCAATAAGTAGTTCAATAGATATTAATTTAGTATTTCAGTATAATAAACATTACACATGACTCCCTATTCATTTCTATCATTTTATATCCTATTAACAATAGTTTCATCGCGCGATGTCATTTTTGTCAGTATCAAAGTTGACAGCAAGGATCCCATCTACCACGTGAATACATTATAGTTCAGTTCACAATTTACAGTTTGCAGTACACAGTATTCAGTTCAAAATTTCACATTACTTGTCGCTTCGCCACGTCTGGCTAAAACCATATTCATAAGTATGGTTCACCATAGTCACACGCTAAATGACTACACATGCACCCATCCCTCGGTGATACCAATTAAATGAATTTTTTTAAAATATTTTAATGTCTATCTATTTATTTCAACTCACTAATAAATTTTTTAATTTTAATTATTTAATATGTTCTATACCTATAACACGCATATTGTACGTATTCATCACCCTAGACTCTTTTACATATCCTTAATATACTCGTAATTACATAGCAACCAGTGTATATACGAATTCAGTTACCAAAACATAGTAAAACGATAATTTAGCAATTTCAATAATAAGCAAAAATAAGAACACAATAATCAATAGTAAAATCTCGTCGAAATCATGCGCTTAATTAATTATTAAACATCATAGTTTTAATATCATAGAAAGATTATGCTATGATTGTAAGCACTTACGCACTTACTTGATTTTTATCTAAATCTCATTCGTGAAATTATCTCTGATCTATAAGATCAACCTATTACAGTGATATCTGTATCAGGTTAGTAATGAATTGGTTATCATCTAATTTTCAAATACTCGTGTCTAGACTTATTCCTAATTCTAAATCGAATAAATATTTTATTGTATTAAAATTAAGTAGGATTAATAAATCTTAAATCTAAACTGGTAAACCATCAGGGTTTTTTGAACTCACCTACCCAAACTGGGTTCCTAAGACTCACTACGCACAACCACTGAAAGTTTGTGCGTCTCTACAAGAACTGCCACTGGACCGCCATGTGCCACCGCCGCTCACCGCCAATCGCTACCTCTCACTGCCAATCCCTACACTAAATTGGCTGAAATTCACCGCAGAGCCCCTCGCGCCCTTAGATCCAGCACAAATCTAATAGAATCGTGTCGGAGGGAACTATGAAAAGGTAAAACGCACGTCGAGCTACCTCCCAGACCGTCTTCTTCTCCTGCGCACCACCGCACACAACACCGACCTATCCTCATCTTTTTTCGTCTTCTTCTTCTTCCTCTCCTCTCTCGACTGCCAACTAATGGAACTTCAACACTTCTCTCTCTATTTTCCTCTCTCTCTCTCTCTCTCTCTCTCTCTCTCTCTTTCTCTCTCTCTCACTTCCTGTACCGATCTCCTTCCCTCCCTTCTTGTTTTATAGGGAGGGGCGGGGGAGTCCTACATGGACCTTCTTCCTCGGTGTGCAAGTCTCCTCTTCATCCTTTTCAGTTGTATGCTTTTGCCTCTTCATCTTCCCAACCATAGGTTTTTTTTTCTTTACCCAAAAACAAAGACGTTTTGAGGTCTCTTAAAATATTTGGTCTGTTACAATTTCTCTCCTTCAAAAAATTTGGTCCTCGAAATTTATTTTATAATATAAATATCCTTAGCTAAAGTAGTCTAATTACAAACATTAAATAGATGGGGGATAGT